TTTTTTACAGAGAGGAAGGGAGAGGGATAGAGAGTTAGAAACATCGATGAGAGAGAAACATTGATCAGCTGCCTCCCTGCACACCTCTACTGGGGATGTGTCCACAAACAAGGTACATGCCCTTCACCGGAATCGAACCTGGGAGACGCTCTATCCACTGAGCCAAACCAGTTAGGGCTCTCTGCATTATTATTAAAAGAAGAGAAGTATGTTTTTATTGTTTTATTGTTTTATGTTTTAGAGAGAGGAGGGTGAGAGAGAAACATTGACACCAGCGATCTTCTGGTGCATGGGACAGATGCTCAACCAACTGAGCCACACTGGCCAGGGCTCTCTCTGCCTGCTTTACCATACAGCTAAGTGTGGCCTGTAGCTAAAATTCTGAACAAAGAAATGTAAATAGTATTTTGGGGTGGGATTCTGGGGAAATACTTTAACAGGTGACAGACACTGAGAAGCACTCTTTTAAACACACAAATGTAAAAGTGATAAAGACAATAAATATTTGGGATACAATAACTCTAAAAGACTTGGTCAGGATAACATAAACATGTTAACTTTATGATTATGACCAAGGAGTCCGCATGAGCTGACATTCTCACCACTTAGCCACACCGGCCAGGGTGAAGGTTGTTTGTTTTCTTTTTAAAAATACATATATGGAAATGATTCCTTTTACTCCCTGAACTTTCTCTAAAAAAAAAAAGAAAAAAGGTGGTCCCTTTAAACTCTTTTAAATAATTATTACAAAGAAAGAAAAAAGAAAAGCAAGTAAGCAAGCAAACCTTGGCAGGTGGCTCAGTTGGTTGGAGCATCATCTCATGCTCAGAAAGGTTGCTGGTTCGATTCCCCTGTCAGGGCACATACCTAGGTTTCAGGTTTGATCCCCAGTTGAGGTGTGTACAGGAGACAATCCATTGGTGATGTTTCTCTCATACATAGATGTTTCTTTCTTTCTCTTTCTCTTTCTTTCTTTCTTTCTTTCTTTCTTTCTTTCTTTCTTTCTTTCTCTCTTTCTCTCTTTCTCTCTCTCTCTCTTTCTCTCTTTCTCTCTCTCTCTCTCTCTCTCTCTCTCTCTCTCTCTCCTCTATCTCTCTATCTCTATCTCTCTAAAATCAGTAAAATATGTCCTCAGGTGAGAATTAAAAAAAACACAACAGACGATTTGTATAGGCCCAAGTACATAATGTATCAATTAAAATAAAAACAAAGCAAATGGACAGAACATTTTCCTAGATAACAATCTCTCCAACCTATTTTATTTCTGCAGCCCATTAATCTAACTAAAATGAATCACACCTGTAGCACCAGTGGGTACTACCAAAATCTGAAGAAAAAACCCAAAGCAGATAGGAACCTTTTATAATATAAATGGAAGTCCACTGCCTTTGAAAAAAACAAAAACAAAAACATGGGGGCTAAAATAAAATGAACTCTTCATCACATGCTATATTTTGATTTTTGTGCTAGTTATAAATTAATCACTCATTAAGAAAACAGCAAACAAATGATAGTTGCTCTGCAGTCTATACATTCATAGATCCGTAATTTTCAGTTTAGAAAAGAAGCCCAATGATATATAATTTTCTCCTCTCCCTTATATAAAAGTCTAGGCATTCATTATCAAATGCCTAGATCTAAATCAAAATAAGGTCATGAATCTATGCCATCTTTATTAGAGAATCTTTTTTAGATTCAATTGACAACCTATGGCATTTGTCAATTTTTCTTATACTTTCCAGTAAAATATAATGTTGGACAAAACTCCCCCACCAAAAAACACTAAGAGTCTCTGAACTGGTTGAGAACTACAGGCCATTTAAAAAAAAATTAAAATTCATTGCTTGCTACTAACCCAAATTCTTTTAGGTCCAAAAAAAAGTCTTCTTCAGGCTGACTAGCAATGCACATTTAAGTCCTTTAAATAAGCTGATTAACTTCAAATGATAATTTAAATACAACAGAAGATTAAACAAAACTAGTGTGGAGATAGGAAGATAACGCTAAAAACATCCCACCATTTCATCTATTTCAAGTGCCATTAAACCATTTAAAGCATGTACTACTGGAAATAGGCAACAGTTGATTAAATTTTACTTTTCTAACAAATCAAATAATTAGAGTAAAATGGAAAAGTCATTAGCTTCAAAATTTTCTCTCAATGCCCCTTTACAGGTTACTAATAAAATTACAATAAATTCTTCACTTGCTATATTTCAATGAAATTACTTTCAAATTTTCATAGTGCAGAAAACTGGCAGGTACCATCTCCACAAAGCAATTAAAATTACCATCACCAATAATGTGACAATCTGACATCATGACAGTTCAGCTATAAAGAACATTATTTGGACAATTGGCAAAATGTGAATAAGGCCTGCAGATTTGATAAAAGCATTGTGTCAATGTTAATTTCCTGAATATCCTGGTTTTTAGAAAATACACATTTAAGTATTTACTAGTAAAGCAGCGGTTCTCAATCTGTGGGTCGCGACCCCTTTGGGGGTCGAATGACCCTTTCACAGGGGTCGCCTAAGACCATCGGAAAACATATAATTACATATTGTTTTTGTGATTAATCACTATGCTTTAATTATGTTCCATTTGTAACAATGAAATTGGGGGTCACCACAACATGAGGAACTGTATTAAAGGGTTGCGGCGTTAGGAAGGTTGAGAACCACTGCAGTAAAGGCATACCATGCCTGCAATTTATTTTCAAATGGTTCAAGAAAAGAAAACCAAAAACATATAGATAGATAAAGCAAATGTGGTAAAATGATAACATTTGTAGAATCTGGGTGAAGAGTATATGGAAATTCTTTATACTTATAACTTATTCTTATAACTTTTCTATAAGTATAAAATTATTTCAAAATAAAAGTTAAAACAATTAAAAATAACAAAAGATAAATAAATAAAGCATTAGTTTATAAACACTTAAGAAAAAGAGATGGTTAAAGAGCAAATTATAGATGCCAATGATGGGTGCAATTTTGGTTTAATTATTCATGTGGTTAAATTATTATTGCTGCCTTTCATCTAAGGATCTTGGGAATATTTTACAAACACACTTTATAAATGGAAAAACAGACATGTAGAAAAGCTTCCAAAATGTGACAAGTTGATTTTGGAAAGAAGATAAAATTTGAGTTTTAATTGATAACATAGTATTAAGATGTGATATAGGTAGACACACCAAAAAATATTCATTTACCTTGCTCTGTTGTAAATCACTGGTTCATGTTCGTCCTGCACAGTTGCCAGCATATCCAATTCATGGAATATTTTCTGCATATAGTCCAAAAATTTATGTCCTGAAGCTCTTTCAATTATGGCTGCCAGTAGGGTATAGCCAAAAGTTGAATACAAAAACTGACTACCTTGAGACATCATTGCAAGGAGAAAAAAAAGAGAAAATGATTCATTATTATTTAAATATATGTAAAATACTTTTCCATTAAAAACTGGTATATACCTTAAAACTGGAATATTTTACTTCAACATTTATAAAACATCATGGATGATATATTAGTCAGCTCTGTAATGGCCCTACTTATTCCATGTGTCTAACACAAGAATAAAATGATGATCAATATGTTTACAATTTCACATGAATCTACTCCTTTCTATGATAAAAAATAAGCAAATGATCCTACCTCAAACATAATAAAAATTCTACAAACTGGCAACAAAATAGCAAGAGAGAGAAAAACAAATTTGGATTCTTTGAGTCAACTATCTTGTTCCTAATGTACCTATTCCCTATTGCTTAAGGCATAAGTAGTTATATAAGTTATTTTAATAAAACATATCTATATATATAAAATCCTAAGCAACCGGCCGACTGGCCAACTGGCCGGTAGCTATGATGCGCACTGACCACCAGGGGGCAGATGCTCAGTGCAGGAGCATCTCAGATGGAAGGGGAGAGGGTGAGATGAGATTAACCAAAGATCTTATATGCATACTAGAGGCTCGGTCAGGTCCCTGGGCCTGGCCTGCAGGGATCGAGCTGAAACCAGCTCTCCGACATCCCCTGAGGGGTCCTGGATTGCGAGAGGGCACAGGCTAAGCCGAGGGACCCCACCGGTGCACAAATCCATGCACCAGACCTCTAGTCTAGATATAAAAACCTTATTTCAAATACATATTAAAATACAAATACATATTCAAATATATACCTTTATCTCATTTTGGATTCTGGAAATGTAGATTGTACTATCTGCACTAAAAATGGGTGAGAACCTTATTTTTAAAGACAAAATCCATAATCATATTTCTTTGCCGTTACTGGTTATACCTATGTAATATCTACTCATGGTAGAAACATCTTTTAATATGAAAATGGAATTAAAAAATCTATGGTAAATTTCTTTAAAGCTATGAAGTAGTTTCAGTAGGCATCATACCAAAAAATATACAAAAACAAAGAGAGTTATTTTTATATATTAGTTATTTTTGGAAATAAAATTAAGTTGATGAACACTGATTTCTTTAAGAAATGAAGGCACAAAATAAGTTGAGCAATTTAAGGTCTAACTAAGCCCGGCTGGCATGGCTCAGTGATTCAGCTTCAACCTATGAATCAGGAGGTTACAGTTTGATTCCCTGTCAGAGCACAGGCCCGGGTTGCAGGTTCAATCCCCAGTGGGGAACATGCAGGAGGCAGTCAATCAATGATTCTCTCTTATCATTGATTTTTTTTTTCTCTCTCTCTCTCTCTTCCCTCTCTGAAATCAATAAAGATACATTTTTAAAAAATGAAGTCTAATTAAAAAACAAGATACTAGCAATACATTATCACATCCACTTTGATCCAGATTTTGTTTGGAGAACTATTATTCCAACATTTCTCCATAATCTTTCACAAATATTTTGATATTTAGAATCTTCTAAATGACTGGGTAGCCTCCATGAGGCTAGATCTAAACAAGTAGCTGCCTGGATGTTAGGCAGGAACTATGCTCTACGCTTTTAACTACTGTTAAGAAATGCAGACAAAAGGCAAGCAATGGACCGACAACAAAATCCATGCCACAATCATCTGCCACATCTAAAGCACTCAGGGTGGTATTTTCCATTTTCTGAAAATTAACACTTCAATAATGATGAGTTTGCTACGAGAGGGAATTAACACTCACCAGGTTTAAAGAACAAAGGGTCATTTTTAAATAATTTTAGGGATTCAATTGAATTTTCAAACTTCTCTTTCAAATACAATTCATCTTGTTCAAAATCATTTTTTTTCTTGACAGGTTTGGAATTCTGGCCTTTGGCTTCATTATCCTGCTCTATCTTAGCTTTAGCAAAGTCATTCTTTTCATTATTTTTGTCTCCTTTATCTTTTAACTCTTTTTCTTGGTCAGATTCCATCATCTCTTTCATCATCTTCAAGGCTTTATAAGCTTTCACCTTTTTCATGTCCTTTTCATAATGACGAATTCCACTTAAATGGGAAATCAATAATCTTGTTGTGACAGAAACCTAATTGTAAAGACACGAAAATTAATTACATTACTAAACTATAATAAAAAGTTAGCAGCCTTGGAATAATGCCTCAGTAATATTTTCCATTTTAAACTGCTATTGAAAAAATATGTAATATACACATCTTTAGTTTTAAATTTCAGAAAAATCTCGATTATCATCTGCTTAAAAAAAATTAACAATAATTTAAAACAAACCAAAGAATCCTATGCAACCGTTTCAACCATTAAACGTGCCACTTGTAAAATGAACTGTGAGTTTCATTACCTTTTCACCTTCATATTCTTTTTCTGGGAATTCAGGAACATAATGTTGTACTGGAATATCAAGATCAAGTTTTCCTGTTTCCCACAATTTGGCAATAGCAACCATGGTAAGGCTTTTGCTGATACTGGCAATTCTCATAACTGTCTCTGGTTTGCACGGTACACGGTTCTCAACATCGGCATAGCCTAAGCCTTTGAAAAAAAGCGAAAAGTTACCATTAATAACCTTCAAGGTCAAAGGAATCTTGAAAAACTGAAATAATACTATCTTAAAATTTCCTATATATTCATCTGAAGGAAAGATATTCCACTTTTATAAGTTAATGAAAACATAACATGCAAGGGATAAGTCTTAACACGGACAACAGTAAGTCTAACAATTTAACCTTATAACTAAACAGAATTGTGCCTTGTACACAATAGTAATTTTCCATCTGATTCAAAAACTAATTTTTCTTAGCTTATCTAAGCAATTTGGTTATTCCACATTTCTAATAAATTACTCTTCATTCTTTAAAGAAAACATCATTGTTGTTCAGATTATATTTATTCTTGAGCGAGTTTCCACTGAATTCCTGAAAATACCCATCCAATTAAAAATAAGTGAAAAGAGGTCCTGCAAATCCACTTTAGCTATCAATTCAATTCAGCTGCAAATGGGAGGGGGGGCGGGACGGGACCCACAATAATGTACCACCAATTTAAAGCTCATTCTAGAAAAAAATTTAAGTTTGATTTCATCTTCTGAACAGGTTGAAAGTGGAATCCTAAGAGATATAAAGAACTGAAACCTGAAAAGAAAAAAAGGGTACAACGATTGTTTTTAAACTGTAAAGGGATTATGCTAAAATATTTGCATAAAAACAAAGCCCCCACCCATAAAGCTGACATTTATATAATTTTGGTTACAATATTTTTCATAAATCAGGCATACAGATTAAGCTATACTTATATTTGGAGGAAGAATCATTTTTCTTTAAATTCACTTCCCTACTGCCCCCATAGTAAGAGTAAATAAGTACTACTTTATTTAAATGATGTCTGAAACAACATTTCCTAAAAGTATGGTTCTTTAAAACCTAGGATGACCAGTTGGACCAATTTGTATTGAATGAAGAAGTAAATCAAGTTATAAAATATGATTTGATAAAGTATCATAAAATGATTAGAAATCCCTTTCCCAAAGGTTCTAGCTTTTTGTTTCAAAAAATAGCTGCTACCTCTGCCTACTCAAAAAAAGTAATAAAGTAGATCATAAACTCATTAAGGACAGGAATGCCTTTTACAGAATAGGCGACTCAAATTGTTGACTGAATTAAAAAAGAAAAACACAAAATTCTGATGTTTTATCTACTCACTAGAGCAGTGATTCTCAACCTTCTGGCCCTTTAAATACAGTTCCTCAGGTTGTGACCCAACTATAAAATTATTTTCGTTGCTACTTCATAACTATAATGTTGCTACTGTTATGAATTGTAATGTAAATATCTGATATGCAGGATGGTCTTAGGCGACCCCTGTGAAAGGGTCGTTTGACCGCCAAAGGGGTCTCGACCCACAGGTTGAGAACTGCTGCACTAGAGGCTTGGTGCACAAAATTCCTGCACTGAGGCGGCGGGGTGGGGGGGGGGGGGCTCTCAGCTTGGCCTGCCCCCTCTCACAGTCCAGGACTCGACGGGGAGCGGGCCTAAGCCGGCAGTCGGACATCCCTCTCGCAGTCCCAGTCGCCTCGCTCCTTATCCCCTTGGCTCCCTGCTCCTTAGCACTGCTCCAGAGGTGGGAGAGGCTCCCGCCACCACCATGGGTGGGCTCTCCAGCTGTGAGCCTTGCTCAGAGCTTCTGGCTGAGGATCGCTCCCCCTGGTGGTCAGTGGGCATCATAGCGACTGCTGATTCCGCTTTGGTGGTTTTGCATATTAATTACCCTTTTATTATATAGAAAAGGAGGATAAGGGTTATCTACAAACATGCAGTTAACAGGCTGTTCTATATACAACCTTCAGAACAATAGATCCAGTCCTTTTAGAGTGGGTGTAGAAACAAGCCATTTTTAAAACTCCAACTTACTCATTAGTTACATTTTAAATCTTACGAATAGAAAACTCCATACATTATTCTGTTGGATACATTTTTCTCCACAACATGGATAACTTCACGTAAGCTGAAGGGCATTTCATGAGATTCACTCCAAGCAGTAAAACATCAAGTTGTCATTCACCAACTGGCACAAAACAAGCTACTCATGAACACTTTTCTGAGCCTACCTTCTGACCAGATTTCTTTTCCATCTACAGAGACTCCCACCACGATGCCAGGGGCGCCCACCTCATCCTAAGAGGAAGGGGGAAGGAACAGACAGTTCAGAGACGCGAGGAAATACCTCGCGGGGCCACGGGCATTGTCACCCTGGCGTCTCCAGGCCCCGCCCCGACACGCCCCTCTGTGTGCCCCGCCCACCCGGGCTGCGCCCCGCCCACTTCGGCGGCAGTTCTGTGCTAACCCGAGAGGTGTGCAGAATTGGCACCCCGAAAAGGGAAGGGCGGTGACCTCCCCGAATTGGGCAACCCCCCAAGAGCGTCTGACCATGGCCGGACGGTCGGGAAACGGGAAGTCCTTCTCGGAAGCTGACCGTGGGTCGCCCAGGCTGGGGTGGGCTCG